AGAGAGAGAGAGAGAGAGAGAGAGAGAGAGAGAGAGAGAGAGAGAGAGAGAAACATATATGGGGGTAAGGGGACAGAAAAGCTCAATAGCATCATAGACAGTACATAATCTTTTAAGGAAGAAGACGCAAATCAGTTAGTAGTCAATCTCTACACATTAATAAAGAAATGATCTCATCAGGTACAACGAGATAGACACCACAAAAGCTTGCGGAACACAACAGGCAACAGCTAAAACTCCTTGACATTGTACATATCCCTAACCACCACTTTAATGAGACCCGTATCTATGTGCGAAAAAAGAATTACCCCCCCCCCCAAAAAAAAGAAAGAAAGAAAAAGAAAATGGAAAAGAAAATGGGGAAAAAAAGGCTGGGGCAGAGAACAAAGTAGGTGAGTCCTTTTCTGAACGCTCTTTTTTTTTATCCCCTGCATGAAATAAAAAAACACCATTTTATCACTTAATTTTTTTGGGAGCGGGGTATTGAAATGAGATCCTCATCGCTGTAACTGGCTGAGAACTCTTCTCACAGCATCCCGATAAAGCACCATCATGACCATAAGCACACCTGGAAGCATGCCATGCAGCTATCGACCACTGACCACGAAAATGACTGTCACCATCAAATAAATCACATGCACCACAGACACAGCAAACTACTTCTGAAGGAAAATGTTAGAGACAAAATAAGAGCATGTCTACACGACCTGCCACTGTCGACTTCATATCTTATTCTATAACGCTGACTTCAGAAAAAGATGATTCAGGTGGTTGCTATGGGGAAAGAGGGCCCATAGTGCCAAAATAATCCGACTGTGTATTGACTCATAAAAGATCAAACTAGAAAAGTTTTAAACCCACACTTTAATCGTTATACACGCAGTGCCAGAATAAAGAAGGAAAGGGTGGAGGGCACCCTGGGCATCAAGCTATACAATTCCGTGGGTGGTTGGCGGGTTCTCTGGTGTGGTTTGCTCCTTCTTTCCTATAAAAAATCTGTCGTCCTTATCTTCTCTCCTTTGTTATGTTTGTTCCTCCCTTGTAACACCTCTAATCTTTGGTTCTTATACGACCTTATTGTGATGCAAGTGCCGTAAAACTCTTATTAAAACAAATACAATTCCTAGGAGATTTTCTTGGTGTACAGAACAGATGCTGACACAAGTAGGAACAAGATCAAAAAGCCTATGAAATCTCTGAGAATTCCAGACCTCAACAACTTAAATCCAAAATTACGCCCTTATTGCTTCCGTTCAACATATTATTCAACACCGTACTGAGCTGTCTACATTTCTGAATGTAAGAATGTAAGAAATCAAAACAGATTATAAAGGATCTGCCCAAAGCTGGAAGGAGAAGAGGATACAAAGTGAAATCCCACAAGGTAATAGATTTGCACATAACACCAACAATTTCCACTCCGCTTTAAAAAAAAAAAAAGGAGTAAAAACGACTGCAAGAGATAGGTTGCACTATATGGAAATCCCAAAGATGTGAATAAGAGAAATTAGTCGTTTAATATCATGCACTATCTACCTACTAATCATTTTCTTTAAAGACCCAATAGTTTGAAAAGAGACAAATATACAAACACACACAAAAGCACTATGAGCTATAATATGTTATATCATGGTTCACAGTAACGACACATGAGTCCACAATAGGTTGGCGCAGAAATCGTTGACAGACATACCAAAGACTGAGGCTTCTAATTATTCTCTGCCCCTCCCCCCACAAAAAAAAACTAAGAAAAAATAGAAAGAAAAGAAAGAAAAAAAAGGAAACCCCCCCTACCCTTTTGAAAAACGGGCCATTCTTTCAGGGTACAGTAATTCTGATTTTCTGTCACTGAAATCAATTTGAAAACAATGAAGCGTAACTTTTCTCTTACAAATAATATAAATAATATGCAGTTCAGGCTGTGTGTTATATCCTGTTACATTTTATTTTTTCACGGCATCATTATAATATTGGTTATTCGTCAGTACATGCCAACAGTGTTCCGTGAAACTAGCTAGTTCAAAGTTTCAAAAAATTATATAAAAAAATTAAATGGTTACACAGGAAGGCTGACTTCAGTTAATTCGTTATGTACCGGATTTTCAATTACAACTGACTCCTATGACATTTTCTTCGAAAAAGTCTACCAAGAGTATTGTTGACTCAGTTTTGAAGAAAATCTTTTAAAAAATGTATTCATGAAAACAATTTGGAAGAGTACATTATGCCTTTGGTATTCGGATGCATTGTAAATTTCCTGTTACGACGGACAGTTGCATGTCAACATATTTGAATAACTCTGTATAATATTTTTTTTGTCCTTCTTGAAATTATAGATTATCTCTTTTGTGTTTGACAATGACATTCTATCTAGCAGTTTTGATGTTTCTAAAATGACATACTCA